GCCATGCTTCAGCACGGACCTAGCTTAGCAAGCAGTATGTCGCAGCAGTCCTGTAAATTCACCTCTCTGCAGCCCAGACCAGGCATACCTGTAAAAAGCAGTTATGTGAGTACGGTTGTGTCTCCAGTAGGTGCTTCTGTGGCCAGTTCTTCTAATAAGGCATTGTACCCTGTCATTGCTCACTAGCCAGGAGAGATCCACAGGACAGGCATATTCTGGGATATCATAGCCCAACTGAACAAGGTGGAACGAGCAATCTAGTATAGGCAGCCTAGCCAGGGGATGCTGCTGTGTGGTTATTGGGACGTTCACTCCACTACAGCTGTCCCTGTTCAGGAAAGAAGTGGGCTATACTATTCTATAGCTAGATAGATCCACCCATAGATCTTTTGGTGTATGGGTGGGCAGAGCAGAGCGACTTTGATGCTCTGTTAAGTGAGGTGGGTCGCCTTGTGTGGCTGCACTCGTGGGATGGAAGATGCTGCTAAATGAATCAGCTACACCACTACAAAGCCTGTACAGAGAAAAGACTTTGTACTTTTACTCAGAGTTACTGTCTCTATTAAGTTTTCCCCTTGGGAAATTTTTTGGTACAGTATGTATCTCTTCCTTGTAAATAGCAAGAATTGGGTGAATGTGATTATATAGGTTTACCTCCTGCTGTGAAGGTGTTGCACATAAGGGTATGCAGTTGACCTCTTGTGTTGTCTGCCCAGCCTTTGTGCTGCTGGGGATAAAAGGATTTGCATGTGGGGGCACTGCTTCCAAACCCTGTTCTGAGAGCCTGGCTGGGAAGGAAGACATTTTGTTCTGCATCTGAGAAAGAGATTTTAAATCTTTCTTTTGTAGTGAGTTTGAGAGAACTACCTTTAAAAACCTCCAAGTAGCTCACTGTAAATAAATCTAGATGAGTGAAATACTTGTATTTTTAAAGCTCTTAAAACATATTTTATAATGGAGCTGAAGGATGTCTTTGCAGTGGGAGGTACAGGAATTACAGTGATGTTTACCATCATCTGCAGTACAGGCAGGCATGGTACAAATTCTCCTATGTAGCCCAATAAAAATACAATATGCCTGGCCTGTAATATTTACAGCTGTCATAAACTTTTTGGTTATGCTGTGTGCACTATCATCAGATCCATTATGCTCTTAAAATCACGTAGGACTAATTCATTGATGGATCCCAACCCAAGAGTTTCATTAGAAAGTTTTATAGAAAATCATGATAAATGACTGTTTACAAAGACAGTTCTCTTGAGGTGTATTCATTCTTTGAGAGAAAAAAAATTACTATTGCCTAGTCATAGAAGTAAAAAAGGATAGAATTTTTTAATTCATTATAGCTAATTAAAAAGTGTATAATTTGAACATATTACAATAAATGCATAACTGCAGCCCATTGGAATGTACTACTATATCTGTAAGAAGAACAGTTGTTCAGCATAGTTATGCAGCAAAATATTTTCCTTAAGTTTATTTCTACTCTTGCAAAATCGCACATCCACGTGTCATTTAGGCAGTTTTCTGCATGCATACTGTCAGTCTTTTTCCTCAATATTTGAATAACAGCTAATCAATTGCAAAGTAAAAGCTCATGTTCAGCTTACTTATTAACTCCTTTTCTAATGCCATGCTGATATCGGTGACATTTTAAAAAATAAATCCTCTGGAAACAATCCAGCTAAATCAGAGGGAAAAATGTATAAGAAAGTTGTATCAGAACTGAGGTGTTTGACATTAATGGTCTGTGTGCTGCCACTTTAAATCTCACTTGCACTTCAAAAAACTGAGGAGACTGACTGTTGATAATTAAAATCAGAAAGATACTGGATTGTATGGATTCCATACCAGAAAAATAAGCAAAATAATTCTTAGTTTACAATGAAGAGGTAAAAAAAAAAAAAGGCATTTTTTAATGTTTCAAATAGTATTAGGTTAGCTGAAAGAATTAAAAATAGAAGCAGCTTTCGTTCTTTGAGTTACCATTTGGGGCCCTTGAGTAAAGCTGATGACGTTTCTGGACAAAAGAAAATCAATAGCATGCCACTTTTAGTATCTACTGAATGTTAGGTAGTTAATAATTTAAAAAAGAGAGCTTGCTGCTACACTTACAAGGTTTTCCCTTTTGTCAGTGAAGCAGCCAGGTTCAGTTGCCTGTTGGGTATTCCTTTGTACACTCGCTCTCAGAGAACTAAAATGGCTTCTCCTCAAATAGGAGAAACTGCCCTCAAATTGCAGGGCAAGATTTTTTGATAGCCTTGATATGAACCACTTCAAAGATGAGAGCCTTTAACAAAAAAAAAATTTCCAAGGTGTTTTGGATTAATATTATTTTACCAGCTCTTGAAGACAAAAGGGGAATTGTAGTAGCAGCAAATGCAGGCAGAGGTGATTGTGCCTGCTCAAGGACTTGACCACAATTTCTGCTCGGAGGAAGCTCCTGAAGAATGAGCAAAATAATCTTGTGGAATATGTATCTTAACAGTTGTGCGTTGCATGAGCGTAAATTTTTTCCATCTCCTGACCTGAGCTCAGATCTATTTTCTGCTGTCAGGACGTGCAGCACAGATGGTGGAGACTAATTGGGGTGGAGGGCAGAGCCTCTATGTGCTCTTGAAATCCCGCGCCTCTCTGGAGGTCGAGGGGCAGTTGCTGTAGCACAGGCGTCCTCAGGGCTGATGTGAGTGATGCAAAGCTGAATGGCTGTAGCATCTACCGCACTTCTCTCCAGACAAACTCCTCCATCCCTCTGTCTGACTCGGCTGGTAGAAGTGTGTGTGTGCATGGAGGTGCCTATAGTGAGCCCTGCAGCAGCCCGGCAGATGCAGAAGCAGCATTTGGGGTTCACATCAACTTTGCTGTGCCCGGGTTGTTTTATGTTGGCCGCCTTTTCTTGGGCTTGCATTTTACCAGTGTTGCTGCAAATAGACCTCTGGCAAATAGACCTCTGGCAAACTGGTTCCTCCCACCTTTTCCAAGTTTCAAAGCTTTGGAGGGCAAGATGGGCCTCAGAGAGATGCAGATCATTTTCTTGTACCAGCCTGGGTGCTCAGAGATGTGATGCTGTTCCCATCTGCCCTCCAACAGCTCATGCTAAGCCCTGTCTTTGCTAAAACTCGCACTGTAGCAGGCTGAGACTTGGTCTGGGAGCTTGGGGTTTGTTGCCCTTCCCGCCCTTTCCTTCTTCCCGGAAAACAAGAAAAAGTTGCAGCAGGACTTGTTTCACCTTTCTGTCTGTCCGTAACCTTCACGCTAATGTTCAGTCCTGGCCACTGCTCTGGATATCATTATATGCCGCACATGAAGATTATGGAGGAAATGGAAATCTGTTTCCAACTCTGTGAGGAGTTGCACCATGCATCAGAGTAAGTGCTGCTGAGGAAGGAGAATACAACAGGACACCCGACCAGACCCCCTCTAATTTGTGTCTTTCCATTGTTAAAGTTGAGATTTGACGTGCAGAGAAACCACACCCGGCAGCTGGGTTTTCCTGTCATTCTGAGGGATCTGGGAGAGTGGCTGTAATGACAGAGAGAGATGCCAATCAGGGCTTTTGTAAGGCCAGGTCATGTAACTTGTGTTTCTTTCATCATACCATCAGCCAGCATCGCTTATGTTCAGCCTTAAGGTCTCCGCATGCAGGTATACTGTGTTACACCCAAACCTTTTGTGTGCACTTTCGTCTTTCGTTTCTTCCCCTCACGCTGCTTCTCCAGTTTCTCCATTAAGCAACAGGCAGCCATAGGTGAATCAGTATGGGTGTTGGCCATGCTAAAAAGATCCTGAAAATCTTTCCTCTTCAGCCCAAGCAGCAGTAACAAAGCAGGACTGTCAGGTGGTGAGACCCCCGCAAAGAAGGAAGGGTGCTGATACATAGCATGTGCAATTTAAAATGGTAATCAGCCCCATCATTGGGCTGACGTCAAGAAATGGTATGTTAAAGGCTTTTTAATGGACATATGAAGTAGCATGAGGATGAAGATGACACTCTCTCATGTCTGCGAGCAGAGGTGGCCTTTCTGCTGTATTATACCCATGTGTTTTAGAGAGAAGACAAATGGCCTGCAACATCATTCTCCATGAGCCACGTCCATCTACATGTAAATTACAAAGGTCAGGTCCGCTTGTACCATAATTAAATTTTAATAACATAAGAATAATTTATAACATTCAAGTCCACATTATAATTGAGCGGAATAGCTATCCCCCACACAGCCTCAGTGCACGATACAGTTTATGCATGAGCTCGGGATTGTCTGCAAGATGCTGAAATCAACGTTGTGTGCTAGGGAAGTAGATACTTATTTTAGGCACTGAGTTTGAAAATTGTGGGTTTTAGAAATATATGCAAAAATATTGCCAAAACCTCATTTCAATATGCAGCTGCTTGTAAGCACAGTAATTAAGATATATTGGGTAAATTCACTACATCTTTTCTCACACACACACCAGTGAGGTAGAATTTGCACATTTCAGATGAAGACTCAACAGATCTTTAAACTCCAGCCAGGACTCAGCAGAAAGCCATCTGGGAGAGCAGGTCTGCTGCTCAGCCTGGTCTTGTCTCCACTGCTCTGAGCTCTTTGATGGAAGGAATGTTGTTGGGATGACCCAGCTCCCACCTATTGTAGATGGATTAATTATTCTTGTGGATCTATAGCATTGAGTTCTGGCACGACAGCAATGGGTTAACTCAACTTTTAATGTCTTCAAAACACTTCTCACAAATGAACTCATTTATCCTCACAATTCTGCAGGGAGGGAGAGAGGAAGAGGGTCAGTCGACCTGCTTTCTGGATAAAGGAACTAAAGGGGGAGTTTTGACATTTTTCTTGGCAGGAGTCAATCAATGTCAGCTTTACACTTCACGTGCCATCACCAATCACTCATTGCTGTAAATGCCGTCTTTACACTCTGCAGCAGGAGATCTGTGCTCCTTCTAGGTTGCTCCTTCTCTGCAATAAATCAACAGGTTTTGCCTCTACTTTCTCTTCCAGCTGGGGTGATGCTGGTCCCTGAAAGGAAGACAGAGGATGGGTTTGAGGAGCACTTCGGCTTGAACTACTTGGGACACTTCCTGTTGACTAACCTCCTCTTGGGTACGCTGGAGCAATCAGGAACGCACAGTCACAACGCTAGGATCATCACTGTCTCATCAGCCACCCATTATGTAGGCAAATTGCACCTGAACGACTTACAAAGCAGGTACTGATCCATTTTTCGTGTTCACTGATCTGCAGTAAGGGTGTGCAGATTAAACTCCAAGAGAATTGTTACTGAATACTGAATGTGGGAGGTTTTGTGGCCTTTTTTTTTTTTTTTTTGATGGATGGTGATTCTCAAGCAGTTGCTAAGTATCTTTTAGACTTGAGCAAAGCTTGCAGCCTTCAGCCAAAGATACAAATAATTCATAACCTTGTAAACTAAGTCTTCTATTCTGAACCTTGAAAGCCATCCTTCCTTTCTGATGCGGTGATGGTTGTGGTGCAGAGCCTGGACTCCTCACTGCCTCATCAGGGAGACTCTCAATAACTGGGATGTTTTAAAATGGCTTGGGTGAATGCTAATAGACTTTGTCCTCAAGTGAACCCATACGTAGAGGCCCTGATCCTCAGATGGGTGCAGACAGATGCCTGTGGCTGCTAGGTCCCTGCCTGCTGAGCGCAGGGCTGCTGACTTGGCTCTGGGGGGGCAGCTAGCCCCACCTGCCCGGCTGCCTCGCAGCTTCACCCAGCCCACACACTGCCTGCTGCTCCTTCCTCCCTGGCAGCTCTGCCCACTGGCCTGCAGCTCCTGGCACACCATCCTCCCTTCCCTCCACCTCATCCTGCACCGCTCCTGACATTCTGGTCCCCCACCTCTGCCTCCCTCACAGCCCTTCTCCAGCTTCCCTGCCTGCCTCCCGTCCCCAGACTGTGTCATCCCTCCCGTCCCCGTGGTGCTTGCCCTCTCACACATCAGCCCGGTGATCCACTGCAAATGCTGCAGCCCCAGCTCTTGTCTGGGTCACCCCCCACACTTCCCTGAGAGCTCACTGAGATCCAAGTGCGCGGCCGTCCTGGGTTTTTAATCCGGTAAGATGGGTTGAAATGCATGGCCGCATTCAGTCCAACTACTTTCATTTAGGAAAACTGTGGATAAATGTCTATGGAATATTTCTAACATTAGGAAGACATCAAATGATGTGGTAGATATCTCTGGTGTCATACAGGAACCGTGTAGAGTTGTTTAGTTAATTGAGGAACAGGCAGGATAACAGATATATTTCAAAATTTCCCCATGCAGTCACGTGCGGCAATTACGTGCTTACTAACAGGCTCAAACAGAGCCTGTCTTCTGATGGGCTCCAGAGCGTTTCTGCCTGCACAGAGCCAGTCTGAGTTTTGCATCATTTCCATGGAGAAATTCTGTCTCTGTGCTTTGACAGGGGCTTCAGCACGTGTTCAGAGGCACCTGGCCTGAGGTTTCATTTTGGAACAAAGACAGACTGAAATTAGAGGGCTGAGCTGTTTCCACTGCAGACATTTTACATATGAATGCTGCATTAAGCATGTCAAACTTTCTGTTTGACTTCTGATTACATACTACGGCATCAGTTTTATTACAAGCACATTGTTTAAACTCTGCAGGGTAGTCTCAGTTTAATCTCTTGCGTGCAAAACAACCACAGGGAATTACCCTTACTCTTCACTTGATGTATGTATTCATTGTTTCTGATGGGCATGTGCTGGATGGCACCATGCAAGGGGGCTAAGGGGAGTGTAATTAGTATTTCTTTGGGCTGAAGTGCAGAATGCAAAATTAAATGTGGCTGTTCTGTGTCTCTAGATAACAGTAGTTTCCTTGATTATAGCAAAGCCTTGCACTGTGCCTCTTAAATTTAGGATCAGCCTTACCTGTGATTCATCATTATTAACTCATATTTTAAAGAAACCAGAAATGTTTCAGTTAGGAAAGTTATGGTTGAGCATGAACGTGACCAATCTGATGTAAAAAGTAATAGTATACCGGTAAGATTTACCTGCAGCTTTTGCACCAAACCCTGCCCTTTACATTTCAACTTTACTGGTGTAAGAAGAGATGTGAAGGATGACAGACTCTCACTGATTTTGCCTGCTCTTTCCCACATGGATGCTCTGAATTGCTCAGGGGCAGCAGTGGTGCCTGCTTTCCGAGCACACAGGTACACCGGTGGGACCCAGAGCAGGCTGTGGATTCAGCTTCAAACCTTTTCTTCGTTCAGGCAGAAGAAGATACTCCTGGTTGTTTTTTTTTTTTTAGCCTAGCTGCCGATAAACCCCCACTTGGGCGAACGGTTAGTTACCACATAAACAGTGCTGCTAAAAACAGTGAGATCGCTTGTGTGTTTGAGCGTGTGCCTACAGCGTGAGCGGGTGGTTTAGCAGCCCTGGAGGACTGTTGCGGGGTACCATACACAGGCATTGCCTACACCACAGGGCCTCAGAGACGCCTTGTGATTCAGAGCAGCATTTAAGAGCTTTAATGGATGTGGTGAAGACACCCATGGTGAGCACTGTGATATGATAGCGTTCCACGAATTGCCACAGTTTCCCAGTGATGCCATCCCTCATTTTTGCCGCTTGTGTGAATGGGAAAACTTTCTAAAAATTTTATACTGGCTTTTTCCTTATTTTGAGTTGCACTAGCTGGCCATAATTCATTTCACGACTTGGGTGTATGTTCCCAGATTGGCTGGTAGTCCTAACCTTGCAGGGAGGCAGCAAAACAATTTGAAGTCATTTATTCACAGTGGAGAAAGGAGGCCGTACTCTGTGCTGGAAGAATTACCGGTGGCAGCAGACTGAATCATTTACCATGTTCTTGTCCCGTTATTCCTAGATTTTGGTTGGGCTAGTGTCCAAACTGGAGGTGAGCGATGGTGGCAGAGGAGGGATCCATCCATCAAACACGGCAGGGAAGGAAAGGCAGAAGACTGCCTTGACATAAAGGAGACAGTAAACTGAGGCTCAGTTCTCTGCTTTACCACAGATTTTTCTATGGGATCGTTCTCCCACTCAGGAGGCTCTGGGTTGGCAGTCACAGTTGTGGCCATTGCTCCCATTGCTTGTACTTGCTTCTCAGAGTTCTGCTCTGAAGCCAGAAGTCATCCAGAAGTCATCACAGTGACCACAGAGCACCAGCATAACAAATAATTGTTGTAAGGTCTGTCCCATAAACAGTATTGAATGCAGCTTGTGCTACTGTCTTCCACATTTCCTCTTTGGTTTGTTTTCTGCCGTCTTACCAATCTGATTTATGCCATGGTTCTCTTTTCAGCTCCTTTTTTGCAGAAGGGTTAATTTAATTTTTTCTTGATTTTCCTTGCATTTTACATTATTTTTCTTCCTTTGTTATCTCTCTTTTCATGCATGTGTACTTGATTTCTATGTTCATCGTTTCATCTTCATCCGTGTCTTTTGAGCTTTTTTGTCTCCATTGCCTTTTCCCTCCCTATCTCATAATTTTTCCCTCTTTTTTTGGCGGGAGAGTGTCTTGTTCCACCCTCTCCGTTCATTTCCTTCTCTCCATTTATCTTCTTCTTATCTTCTCCCCCTAGCCCCAGTCCTATTTCTCCCCTATGAACGTCATTTCTTTCCCTTCCTGCCCATCCTCTTCACACACACCAGTAAAAGAGACAGCATGGGTACATCAAGGCAGGACAGAGCTTGTTCCAAACTGGCAGGGCATAGCTTGTTTCATGTGTGTTATTGAAAATGCAAACGCACAAGAGCAATGACTGTTCTCCCAGTTCTTTTGCTGAAGGATATATGAAGAACATCAAACACCTTTGTGGTCTTTTAGATCCAGACCATTTTCAACAGCAATCACATGAGTCGACAAGGGGATCCCTAAGGCAAATCATTCTCCTTCATCCCTACTTCGAATACGACTGTTTTCAAGGAGGTGAAAGTTTAACAGAAACGCTATCTGCAAGCGTTTCAACAGTGGTGATTTCAGCATTTACATGCTGAGGGTAGTACACTGTGCAGTCTTAACAGCATAGCTGGGATGTCCTTTTCTCCTTTTTTGCCTGCCTTAAATAATACTTTCTAAAGTGAGAGAAGAAAAAAATATGGTCATGAGAGAATATGGCTGTCTGGTTTTAGCAAAAGCTTGAAGAACATCGTGCCATCCTCTTGGGTTGAGATAGGCTTGAAGAGTGCACTGGAGTTCATGGTGCTCCTACAAGGCTGGGATGGAGGGCACTCCTTCAAGTACTCTACTACCAAAGTAAGAAAGAATCTTAGGAAAATAAAGATGACCTTATTCCCTTTCCCAGGCTGTGGGTCACACCTGAATATATTCCGTTTCCCAGGGGTAGCATCTTTGTGTATTCTGTGTAACTTTGCCTCCATGACTAACTATTCCTTTCATCATCCTCTCTTTTTGCATGCCAAATGGGCCCTGTAATGCTGTGAATCACAGATCTATGAACTCCCCAGCCACAGTAACACGGCTCCTTTTCTCGTTCACCTCTCCCATATATTCAGGAACAGTTAGTCACACTTTTTCTGCTCTCTTTCCTCTGCTCTCTCACCGCAGAAGGAACTGTTTTTTGTAACTCTCCAAGCTGGTACAGTCCCCAGATAGTTTCTGTATTTTTTCCCTGTAGCTCTAATGCATGAATCGTGCCAGAGACAATAGAGATTGAAAGGAATTGCAAAAATCCCTGCTGCCGTATGTGCTTCCTAGCTGGTGTAAAGTAGGGTAAACAGCTCTGCCCAAGACCTGGGAGGATGCTGGGGAGAGGAGGCAGCTCCAGTTCATCTCCTCTGCTAGGCAGTTCATAAGGGCTGTAACAGGAGGTGTCACATACTGCTGGGAAAATCTGTCTAGCAAAGTCCCTGGAGACCTCCTGTTCTTGGATGGGTGGTGTCCTTCATCTTCAGTTCTTATGTGTGTGTGATGTTTGTTGGTAAATGAAGTTGTATTAAGTTTGGGCAGAAAGTTGAGGATTTTGTTCCATCAGCATTGCTGAGATTTTGAAAATACTGTCCATGAATAGCAATGAAAAGTTAAAATGTCAAATTACCTTTGGAAAATATGAATCAATTTTTCAGACCAAAACCATTGATTTCAGTGATTTCAGAATATTTTATTTCTAATTTTGAAATTGAAGTATAATGTTGATCAAACTGAAACTCCAAACCTTTAATTTCTAAGTCATCCTGTTGAAGTAAGGT